CCGGCCTCCCACCGCCCGCCCCGCCGGTACCGGCCGCCCCCAGCAGGTGCGAGCTCCAGCCCCTTCTCGCCCCCACCCAGGGCCTGTCATGGCCCCTGTGCCTGCCCAAGCCTCCAGCACCCAGGGCCGTACGGCCCTCAGTGTTCATGTGCGGCATCCCCCGCGGCCGGCCGGGCCTCGCTCCTGTGCCCTCACACTTCCCCATGGCCAGGTAGGAGTCACGGCAGTCACCCCAAACACCCTTTCCGGGTGGCCCCTGCCTGCAAGGGCAGCACCTGCCCCGTGCTGAAGGCCTCGGCCTCTCTCTGCCCGATGCCCACCCCGGCTTCGGCCCAGGCTGCCTTTGGTCGTGCCCCCAGGACAGGCAGAGAGCGGGTTAGTCAGTTAGTAACACATGCTGCAGACGTTTATTGAGCTACACACTAGACACAGCACAAAGACAAGTGGCACATGCACCTACTGCAGGTGTTTGATTAGAGCAGCCACGTTAACAGATTGTCTAAGCCACTGAGTCGAGAACAAGGCATCTTGAAAGTGTGCAACAGGCTGGCACATGGCACAAACACAAGGCAGTGACACATAAGTGACAGACTGACAGGCCAGCCTGGCACAGCACTGAGGAGGAACATGCAGGAGAAAAGAGTGTGTCTGTGTGTGTCTGTGTGTGTGTGTGACTCACTGAGGGTTCTGACACACACAGTGCCTTTCTCTGAGACACAGGTCCTGGCACAGGGTCCTCCACACCACCCTGATTCCTCTTCCTTGGCTGCCCCGCACTGACAGCCCTTAAAGCCACCACCACAGCCCAGTGCTCACAAGCCCCTGGTGCCTGCCCCTCTGCTCAGCTCCAGCTCCCTCCAAACCCACAGCCCTTACCCATGCTCCAGTCACTCATTCACCTCTGTGCCTGCTCTCTGCCAGGCCCTCCTTTCTCTGTTCACGCTCTCATCTCTGTCACTTCAACACTGACTGTCCCTGAGCAAGCTGGCACTGTCACCGTTGTTGCCAGCTGCAAATGGTGCAGCAGTGAGGGGAGAAGAAGGAAGACCAAGGCAACCACTATCACTACCCTTCATCCGACAGCCATCACTTCCCCCACACCAACCAGCCTTCTGAGGGCATGAGCTCCTGTCTCTTAGGGCCAAGCAGTATCAATGGCACAAACTCCCAACACCCCCTCTCCATCTCACCTGCCCTCTACCCCTCCCCAACACCTGGCATGGCCCTGGGGCAGTCTGAAGCCTGGACAGGACCAGCAAGGCCCTGAGCCAGGTGCAGAGCCACTTTCTGCACCTCCCATCCTAAATCGGCTCTCACCTTCCTGGGCCTCCTGCCTGTCACCCTTGCCCCATCCTATAGACTCTGGTGTCACTATCAGCATCTCTTTGCTCTTCTTCCCCCTGAGGAGGCACCACAGGACTTTGCCTGGCTGCGCTCCCCACAGCACTTCACACTCACCCGCTCCCCAACCATCCTCACCTGCCCCTCCAGCTGCCTTAGGCCACAGTGAACACAGGTGGGAGGTCACCATCTCTGCTGCCAACCCTGCACCTTCCCTGAGGCAGCTCACAGCAGACCACACCATATCAATTGCCAAAGTACTTATGTCACGTGGCACCAACCCCAAAAATACCAACTGTGCACAGCCTTAAAGCTTTCTCAAAAACCAGCCATGTCCCCAAATACTAATTGTGAGAGCCTGTGGCCTACTCCCACAGCCAAGGCTTGCACATCCTGCCCAGTGATCCACCAGAGGCCCCAGCTGGACAGACCAGGCTGGTGGGGAGCAGGATGGGGCTGAGGGCCGCTGGACAGGTAACGCTGCTGATGCTTTGGCATGTGATGCACTCACTAATGGGCTTGAGTGGTTGCCCAGCTGGCAGCCCTGACCCTCCCTGTCCATCTGCAGAGTCAGCCACTCATGCTGCAGTCCCAGGCTCTGGGGGCAGCTACTGCCACACCTTGTCACACCTCCCCTGGATTGTTCTCACCAAGCACTGGAGATGTGGGAGCTCCATGCCTGAGCCATATGTCCGGGCACAGAACAGGGAGGGGCAGTGTCTCACTACCAGCATTGGCCCCTCCATCTCACCTACTCCTAGAGAGGACTCCCTGCACAAGCACCCATCCTCTGTCCAGCCTGCAATGCACTTCAAGAAAAGGGATGGAGCCAGTGAAGGGAGAAAATAAACACACCATCTACACACATACGCAAGTGTCAAACGCCCTTTAGTGGTAGACAGAGGTGCTGCGGTCCAAGCGGCCCGGCCCCGCTGCAGCCCCGGCTGTGCTGCTGCTGCCTGCAGTACCTGCCCTTCACCGGATGTGCACCATCTCCTCCAGGAAGGGGGTTTTCATGCAGCCCGTGCAGAGCTGATCCATCCAGAGAGGGGCCTCGTGCTGCAGAGGGGTGCGCCGGGGGTAGAAGGTGAAATTCACGTCGTAGTTGAGCAGGCAGCTGATGGAAGCCATGTAGATATCAGAGAACCGCACCAGCCGGCGGGAGAAGTACGTGGGGTTGTGGAAGGTGCGGAAGATGCTTCCAAACTGGGGGTTGAACAGGTTCTTCGTCAGGGACCTGAGAGGAAAGAGATGGTGTTCTGTAGCTAAAACTGTGGTCACAGATTCTTCCCACTCCCTTAGCCCTGGGCCACTCTCCCCTCCCTGAGCATCAGGGGATCACCCAGAGATACAGATACCCTGTGCAGTGAGACTGATGAATATTCAGTGCACTCTTACTGCACCTGTTATGGGCAATGTCAGGAGCTGCAGTAGCAGACAGCCCATCAACCCCTCCCAGCACTCCCCTTTCCCACCCTGCCTTCAAACCAGTCCAACTTCCCAGGCTGCAGGGCTGCACTGCTGCATGGCCCCTACCCAGAGCTAAGTGACACCAGGCAGGACCAGAGTCCAGCAGCTGCAGCAGCACTGTCCCCAAAGCAGGTTACAAAACAGGGCCTGGGAGTGCCTAAGGGAGCTCACAAGTGAGGTGGGGAAATGCTCACCTGATCTCCTGCCGTTCCTTCATCCACTCCAGCAATACTTGCTTTGACTCTGCATCCTGATACATCTGCAAAGACAGCAGTAGAAAGCATCACATCCATCAGTCCTGCAGGCTCAGTCCTCAGCTCCCTGCAATTTCCACTGTAACTCACAAACCCAGAGCCCACTGCACCAGGAGGAGGATGAGATATTTTTGAGAACCAGGCAAGATAATACATCCCCTCATCCCCATGCTAAACCCAAAATTCAGACTCAGAAGGCAACCTGTCCTGCTCAGTCAGGAGCTGTTTACCTGCATTCTCTCCAGCAGCCCTGTCAGAGCCTGCTGCCAGGTCAGGGAGTGCATGTACTGCTCTGTGTTTATGATCCGGATCTCCGTCTCCAGCTCAGGAACGATGGCTCCAGTCCTCCAGCCATGACGCAGCATGAGGTCCTGGAGATCAGGGTGAAAAAACAACCAAGAATTCAACACAAAGACTGAAAGCCAAACACAACCCTGGTTCCCAGAAGAGTGGGCTTGTTCCCATTTCATATTCTCAGGGGATAGCCATTCATGGCCCATGCCAGTAACAACCATCTCCTGGTCACTAGGATCAGTTGCATGAAGCACCTAAAGAGGTTTGCTGCTCTCAAATTCACACTTTATCCACAGAAAGTACTTCAAGGGCCTTTTCTCCAGTGCTTGCCTCTGTCTGACATCAGTGGGGAAGGCTGTGTGTCCTGTGGGGGGTGGCACCCAGCACAGCCCTGAGCACTCAGAGCAGGCCCTGCCTTATATCCAGCCCAGCTGCAGCCACAGCAGCCATGTGGGATTGCTCCCACCTCACTGGGGAGCAGAGACATTTCACTCACCGCAAGGTCACTGTACAGATGGTCACCAAAGTAGAGCACTTTGGATCCACGCCAGCCTGTCAGCCTCAGGAAATCAAAGAGGTTGCCCTGCAAGTGACAGGAGCACAGGAAACATGGGTACCTTACCACATGCAGGTGTGAGCACTCTCATGAGATGCCAACCTGCTCTCTGCCCCACCATCTACACCCAGAGGTTTCTGTCCTTCCCCACCTCACGTCACTTTCTTCTCATGTGACAATCCTCTGTACATCCCTCAGTTTTTTTAAGACTAGAGAAAAAGGCAAAAGCTCTTCCAAAGAGTTTTTGCAGGCAGGAAACTCAGGGGACATTCTGTGGTCTAGGGCACAGCAAGTCAAGAAGACAACATGGTCTAAAAAGGCAACAAAAGGAGGCAGTTTAGAGGCCAAGAGACACCTTAATTAGAAAAGCCTGAGGATGGGCAGAAAGAACCCCAGGTGTTCTGGGTTTAGAAGTTGTTGGTCTCGGCTGATAATGATTTCACCTCACAGGGTGCACCAGAGGGAAGGTGAGCACTGCCAGGCAAGGGCTTTTGGAGTTGGGAGCTGTTCTACACACCTGACCACCATCCCAGCCCCAAAGATTAACAACACCCACATGTCCACAGAAATTGTTTAATCAAGCTAAAGAGCCAGGCAGCCTGCACAGATTCACAGCTGAGTAAAACAAACCAAACCCCAAAGCACCAGCAAAAGCACAGCACCAAGTAGCTTTCAAGGCTTTCCAAACATTCATACATACACAGAAGGCACTTCAGGGACTACCCTTCCACATCTTCACACAAGTTTTCCACATGAGTCATGAAAACAAAACCCACTAGGAAAGGAAATGGCCCCATCAATGCCAGCAGACCATCACAAGCAGTCAGTGCAAACCTATGAGCCACTCAGCAGCAATCCCTCTGGCCAGTCTCCAGTGGCAGGAGGGAGCCAGCACCCCAACCACCAGCACCAGCCTGGCCAGAAAGTCCCCAGTCACAAGGCAGCCCCACAGCAGCCACCGGCAGCTTGCTGTATGCACAGCTAAAGGCTGTCCAGAACCAAGGTGCTGGGCCTTCTGTTACCGCAGCATCCCTGGAGCTGAGCAGACTTCCCTCAACAGCACAGAAACAGAACCAGGCAGTCTCTGTGCTTCTTGGACACTATGTTGCTGCTGCTGGTGTGAGGACTGCTCAGGAAGCCACTGGCAGAGAAGGAAATGGAGTACAGCTTTGGAAGGAGGAGAGTCCTCTTGCTGTGCTCACACAGCAATGGACCTGAGAGCCAGGAAACTTGTACTTGGAGCTCCACGGAGACACAGACCTGTTCTGAGACCTCCAGGTCCTACCCTCCTTTCCCCCAAGATCACAGATCTGGAAAGGGACAAGAGTACAAACTTGGCACATACAGAAAACATCTGTAGGAACAGAGGGACTAGAGGGCATCACTTCTACTTCCCAGTCCCTAGGCCAAAACACCAGTCCCTGAGGTCCCATTCATGGGATACCCACAGCAAAAAACTGCCATCCAGTTCTGCTTCAGGGGACAGGAGCAGCTCAGAGGCCTCTGGCAACACCACCAGCTCAGGTCCATGGCTGCTAACACTTGCCAGAAAGAAGCATATTGTGGCACTCCAAGAAACCAAAAATCCTGGAGACAGGGTGGGCTGCAACCAGGATACACACTCCATCACATCCTATGAACCACAGTTAGGCAACAAGTTTAATGCAGTCGAAAAAATAATTGTGGGGAAGAATTGGAGAGGGGCCCAAAATCCTACCCAGCCCACCTTTGTCCTTCATCTTTTCCCCTCCTCAGTGCACCATTCACTTGCGTGAGCAGCCTGTGGCTACAAGATGTAGGTGGGGCAAGAGGAGGATTTAATTTAGAAAAAAACTCCATGGGTGAGGTGTGCCTTTCTCCTGAGGGAGCTGCTAACCCACTGGGAACGAGCTCTACTTGCATGTTCCCAGCTCCAAGCTCTTGGCAGAGGATGGGACACCAGCCCAGCACTTTGGCAGACCCACCAGAGGTTTCCCAACAGCACTACTCAAGGACATGACCTACTCTGCTACCACAGGTCAGGTCCCAGCTACTTGACCACAGTCTCACTAACAGTTTTTTCCCGTGGGATTGGACAGCTCAAATAACCAAGAACAAACCGTCCTAAAGCCAGAGGCAACTTGTCTCAGGGGACAGACCAGCTGCAAGAATAACACCCAGGGCAGCAAGTTCACCAGAGCTGCAGCTCATCTTCAGACATGCTGGTCCTTCCAGGAAGGGAGAGTCAGGAGCCAGGCTTTGTACCCTTTGATGCTTTGTACTCTATTTGATCACCCTTGTTTCTTTATTCCTTATTTCTTTATTTTACACAAGTCCACCTTTTCCAGCCTTATGGAGAACAACTTGGAGTGAGGTGTAGAAGATCTTTTCATTCAAAACAAGTTTCAGAGAGCTGTACCTTTTTAGCCTCAACTACCACACTCCTGGGAGCCCCTCCAGGACAAGAGTTTCAGGACTAGGACAGTCAGAAGAGCTGAGGGAAAAGTTCACAACTGGCCACGCTGGACAATGTCAGAGCAGAGCTCCCAGGGTGAAGGTTTCATTGTATATGTGGGTGGGAGACATTCACTGCCCCACACATACAGGAGATGTTTCCCTACACCTCATCTCACACAAACAGGGCAGCAGCAGGGAAAACCCAGCCTGGCAGAGGTAACTCAGCACAGGTTTCCTTGGGCAGAAAAGCAAGTATCCCACACCTTAAGTTCCATGGCCCTGCTCTGCCTTTTTGCACTTGACTCCATCCCTCCATCCCTAGTGCCAAGCCCATGCTGAAAGCATTCTGGAGGACGGTGTCCTACCAGGCCAGCGAGAACTCCTGGGGACAGAGGGCATCTCCCACTGCCCAGAGCCAGCACAGAGTGTGTCTTCTTACCAACACCCTCTACCCAAACGGGTGCTCTTTCCAAGGACTTCTGTCCTTGTCATGTTCCAAACATGAACAAGTGTCCTACAGCAGAACCCATCATCTCCCCTCACCCTGACCAAACAGACTGTCATGTTTTTCCAGTGATTTCCAAAAGTGCAGGCATGTTATAAATCCCCACCATTTCAGACTCGTGCTTGACACCCCTTATGCACCCATTCACTTTACCTCTTTGTAGATCTTTCCCTTCTCCAGCTGGTTTATTTTGTCCCACTGCAGTGAGCCTTTATCATCCAGTTTTCGAAAAGGTCTGGGAAAAAACAGGGGGAGATGTGAACTTCTTCTGATTTTTGGTGATTGTTGCCCACCAACCAGAACATTTGAATCACAAAACTTGTTTACCTATGTAGCAACTTGAAATAAAAGCTCTACATGAGTTCTAAGTGACCTTCTGGGCCTTCTGCAATATTTTCTCAGGGGAAGTATGAAAGGAAAATACCTTTTCTAAATGCTTCCATTGACTGCAGCCATTTCATGCCAAAATCCCTAACAATTCTTCTTGCTTTCACATACAGAGAGAAAGAAAATAACCATAATGACTCCCTCTAAAATGCCAAGGCCAAGAAGGCCATTAAATACTTCCTGTGCTCATCCAACCTAGCTCTGCCCCAGCCTAACAGAGGCTGTGGAATGTCATTATAGGATAAAGCAAGTCTGCAGAGAGAATGGAAAGCTGTCCCCATGCTGAGTTCACCAGGTGAACCGAGCAGTCTCCTGTTTTTCCTGAGGGCTTGCCATGACATTCTCCACTCCATGAGTTGATCTTAGGCACCAGGCAGCCATAAGTTTTATTTCCAAGAGAGCTAGATTATCATAGCTCCAGGCTGTGCTTGTAAAGCACTTCACCTGCAGACCATGAAAAAAACCCTTTACCAGGCCAGCACAGCTTATAAAGCCATTCCATAGGTTTACTCCAGCATATGCCAATGGTCTGGGTAGTGGGGGAGGAAAATACATGCAAGGAAAGAATAGACCAATCCCCCAACTAAGTAGACACAAGTTCCCAAAGCAAAGAAGCCAAAGAGCAAAGTAAGGACAGCAGCCTGTCTATTGGCAGCTCCTAACTTACCACAAAACCCAGCTGCCACATACAAAGGCTTCCAGAGCTGCCAGTTCCCAAACAGCATATATCCAGTACAAACAAGACCCCAAAAAACCTCAAAAAACAAACATAGATACTTGCTGTGTGGAAGAGGAAAAGGAAAGATTTTGTCACAGTCTCAAGACAAGAAATGGCCATCTCTCATGCCAATTTTAGAAACATGTTTTCTGCTTGGCTCTACGCATTCTCTCCACTTATTCCCAGCCTGGTCAATTCTTGTCTCCTCAGAGAGTATCTGAGAGAACATTGGAAGGCTGAATACCTCCTGGAGCTAGACTATGCTTAGCAAAGCTCCTCTGGCAGGCCAGAGGAGCAGTTCCCTGCAGGGAGGGGGCCCAAGCCCCAGGCAGGACTGCCCTGGACACGTACTTCCGCCGGTCAGTGAAGAAGTTGGGCTTGTCAGCTTGCACAATGACCATGTCAAATAAGTCCCGCCAGTTCTTGCCAACCATGTGTTTCATTCCTTTGTCCCTAAGGGCAAAGGAACAAAAAAATTAACAGATACAGTACTCTTTTTTCACCCAACACTGCATCTTTACAACAGTATGCCCTAAATTCACTCTTATTTCAGTAACAAAGAAAACAAATTTGTGAACCCCCCCAAGGCTGTCTCATTGTATCAAGTATTGATGTTGTGCTTTGTTTCAAGCTGTCACACATTTTCTTCTGCACCACTGGAAGCCCAGAGAAGTCTGTGATACAGCAAACACTGCCAGAAGCAATAGAAAGTGTCAGCTCTGTAATGTTGTGGCCAGCCACAGCCTTGTAACTTCTTCAAAAAGTGAGATCAATGCTGTGGGTGCAACACTCACCACAAACAGTTCCCAGAGAGCTCCATGACTACTGCCACAAAACTCTGTTCCATACAGATCCCAGGTGCTCAAAGGAGGGAGTGCCCTGCACAGCTCTTGCTGTGCCATGGTGACCCATTGATGAGCAATAATGGTACTCACACAAAACTAAAGGGACTGTTTGTGATGAGGAACAGTTTCTTCTTGTGGTTCACCAGGCGGTTTAGAACAGCATAGATTTCATCCCCATGCAGAATATACTGTTCTGTATCAGAATGAAACACACAACATCAATCAGAACACTTTGGCATAAGTCATGACCACAGTTCTATAAGACAAACCAAACCTAGCTCCTATACCACTAAAGATGCAAAAGATCTGAATCAGATCCACCTCAGGTGGGCAGGCAATGAACCACCATGGTGATAAAGTTGCCTTCCTTATCCCCATCAGTCCTATCTAAAGACTGAAGAAGTGACAAGTAAATTTGGCACCAGAGCTCTATTTAACTCACCCATATCTTTTTCAATCCATTTGTACATCACTCCTTTCACATGAACATCTCTAATTGCATCCTAAAGAAAAAAGCACAGGGAAAAATGTTTCAGTTTTACACCATGGCATTCCTGTTTCCCAGCATGCAAACCTACTGCCACACTGAGGACCAAGGCTGTAATGATACATCCCCTCCTTGCTGAATGAATAAAAGGTCCATCATTGCAAAGCAGCAGAGCCTGCCCAGCAAGGCTCACCAAGATGCCAAGAGAAGAGTGGGGTGGCTGGCTCAGCTGCTGCAGCACAAGGGGGAAAACCTCAAAACTTATCTGTGAAAGCACAAGTTCCTTCCTGCTTTTGGAAACAAGCACATGTTGCCCCACTGGTTCCAAGGCAGTAAAGACTGTGCCACTCCAAAACCATTTACTGTCCCAACACTGTACTGTCTCAGACACCAGGTAGCTTTTCTTCCTCCCAGTGCCTGTGGAAGTTCTGCCAAGTGTGACCCAAAGAACAGGAGTGTGGCCAGGGTGAACAGCAGCAGAGGACAGTCTGTGTTCCCAAGGCCACAGCTCCTAGCCCTGGGTGACCAGTGTGCACAGGCAGAGCAGAAGCTCCCACTAGGAGGGTGGCACAAAACACAGCTGGGAGGGAAGCAAGTTAAAACAGATGTTGTCAAGGGCATCCAAATATCCTCTATTTTCCAGGCCAGAAGCCAAGATACAGCACATTTTTGGACACACCCAACTGAGATTCTGCCCAAGTCTCCATCCAGCGAGATATGCCAGATCCACAAAACCATTTCCAGAGCAGCAATACAGTTTGCAGTGTTTGCACATGCAAATGCTTGTTTCAACAGCACTGTTTTCACCTCTGACAATCTGCACAGGTCAACAAATGCAGACTTTCCCCAGGACCCTTAAATTCCTGTTACAGTGTGTCCCCTTTCAGGAGCTGCCCTTTCAGACTATGTCCCACACTCACCACCACCATCGCTACAGTGACACTTGCCACACAGTCAACTGGCCTCATGGCAGTGCTGGGGAAAGCTCCTCATGACCCCAAAACATTTTCCTTCAGAACTGGAGAGATACACAATTTACAACTTAAAATTGGCTGATGAAGGTGGAGGCATTACCACTTCAAAATGGAGTTTTAGGAGCTTCTTTCCACCATATGGATTTGAAGGGCAAAAAGGCAGAAGTCACATCTCTTTGCCTTATTGGAAGGAATCTGAACAGAAAGCAGGATCTCTAACAAGAAAACAACTTTCTCTTAACCAGCACTGTCACTAAAAGCAAGCAGAACTTTTGACTTGTGTCAAAACTACCTTTGCAGAGAAGAAAATTTTCAGTGTGCTCTTTCCCTAAACTCCTGTCCTCCAAAAAACAAAAGAATAAATAGGAAAACTATAATGTTTGTGCAGGTAAAATCTTGGTGTCTTGGTAGGTGTCAAACAGGGCTCCAAAAATGCCTCCAAGGGAAAGCAGGGTAAACTGTACATTCTTACTCTCAAATATGAAGTGACCAAACTGGTGTGACAGGACCACTTTAATTACACGTCAGCTTCAGCCTTTACCATACCCCAGGGTCTGCCCTTTTGACTCAGTGCAGTGCCTGTAGCACTGAACCTGCTCCTTATTACACAGGCTGCAGCAGCAGTGCCACCAAGAGTTACAGCAGGGGGTCAGGTTAAGTCAGTGCTGTCCTAACAGCTGGGCTATGCCAGTCCTCTGGGACACCTTTCTGCAGCCCAGAAGGATCTCTGTGCTCGTGTTCACAAAGCATTTCTTTGCACTTGAACTTGGGTACCGCAAAGGGATAAGTTTTGCAAAAATGTTTATCTTCATTGTACAGGAAAAAAGCAAGAACTCTTCTGGTGAGAGTACATGATGGTTCCTAGGTTCAATATGGATTTCAGGCATGGCCACAGATTTTCTGTCATATCTCTCTTCTTTGTCTATGTTAGTTGTCCCTCAGGGATGACCACATTCTCCACCAAAAGGACAAAGGCAGGATTAGCACTCAGGAGTCTGAGAGTTGGACCACATTAGTTGCCCTGCATTGGACATATATTAGCTGTGGCAACTATTCCCCTGCTCTAAAGATTTCAATTAGGAGCACATCCATTTGATCTCAAAAGAAGGTTCAGGAGATACTCTTCACAAAAGGCCTCAGAAGTCAGCTGTATCCCCTCTTCGCATTTTCCCCACCCCAAGAGAAAAAACAACATCCAACACCCCTGAAACGTGTTTAGGTCTTGTGGGAAATGGGCTGGTGCATTCCTATCATGCACCAACAGAAGGTCAGGACACACAGCTGACAGGTGATCCTTATCAAAAAGCAGCAGCACAGACATGGAGCCCCATTTCCCTCCCAGAACTGAACAGCCAATGAGTGAGCCTAAGATTCCCACAAGGTACCAATCAAAAACCCTTCTTCATGGAAAAAGGAGTGCAATAAGGAAAATGTGTTGTCTGTCAGCATAAGTCACCCAGAGCAGCAATCTCAAGCACTTAGATCTTGTCTACAGCGTTAACTGAGAAGTCAAACAGCCCCAACAACGCTGATAATCCCACACAGCCCTTTCAAGTGCCACTCAACACCTTGGAGTAAATGACACATGAAAGCTACAGTCACCCTCTGGATCAGACTAGTCACCCTCTGGATCAGACTACACTGCAGCTGCAAGGGGTACAGGATTCTCCGAGCAAGCAAGGACAGGTGTTTTACAGCAATCACCATATAAAGTAAACTGTTCTTTACATGGCTAGACCAAGACTCTTTGAAAAATGAGATACTAAGGAAAACAACTTAAAGGTCTGCAGAACCAGAAAACATTCACACAAGATTTGTGACATATTTCCCATGGAAAGATCTTCAGCCTAAGCAGCCTAGGCACTCCTATATGAGATACACCAGAAACATTGGCTCTGTAGTACAGACAGAATCCCAACACATTCTGAAAACACAGCTTTGAATATTCCCTGGTAATGCTTTGATATAAAGGGACAACGGAGATGGTTGGTCTGGTCAAGGCTGGTCACTGCCAGCCCCTTGTGTTTGGGTGCTGTGGAGCTCACAGCTCTGATGTGATGTGAACTGTGGGGCAGTTGACATTTCACTTACAGATATGTCCTTGTAGAGATGCACCTGGTCAAACTCAATGCCATGAGTGATGAAGTAATCAATGACTGAAGAGAGCAATGTCATTTCAGGAAGAGAAAAAATGTCCATAAACTGCTTAAGCGATGGACCCTGGAAATCAAAAAATGAAAGGGAGACATTAAACCAAAAAAATAGTGGGAAAAAAATAATAAAGCCAGCAAGAAAACCCATCCACCCAGCATCATCTGGAATATATTCCAGGTTAACAAAAAGGAAAACACTAGTGTGGGAAGTCCCAGCCATTCAGCAAGCAGACCTCTCTTCTTAATAAAAACACCACCCTTGAAGAGAGAGAGGTGTCTCCTTCACATAAATCATTAAACAAACCCAGCATCATTAATACCACAGGGTGAAGATGGAAGAAGCAGAGAGTCAGTCCCAGATATTTTTATTTCAACCTCTGCTTCCCACCTGGACTCTTGGCATAAACACAGGTGCCAACAGACAATGCTCTGCTACAGCAGCAAACAAGGACCTTGCTGAAGATGCGACATTGCTCATCTAAACCAGGCTGTGACACTGCACACAGGGCACCAAAGCTGCCCAAACCACATTCCACTGAGGTTTCACAAGGCAGTGTAAGAATCACTCCAACATGCCATTTGTCAATGCCTGTCTGTCGCTACAGAAAACCCAGAGGAAAAAGAACTCTAGCCCACCAGCAGTCAAGTGGAAATGGACAATTACATGCTGACCAAGGAATAACTCCCCTTGCATTAGGCAGAGTTGCAGCTCTCACACATATTTACTATCATTATTGCCTATCAATCACAAATCTATCAGCAGGCCAAGAGCCAACTTTGGCCCCAGAGAGGCTCTGTAGTAAAATAAACTTTGTTTTTTTCTGTGATTACCCCCTATGCAGAGGGCTGCAGTGAGTCTCCCTTGCAAGATGAAGCTGGGATCAATTTTTTCGTTTTCTATCAGTAAGACCAGAACACAATGGGAACAATTACTAAGGTCCTGCATATGGAAAGCAATTTGGGAAGCACACAGACCTCCCCATGAACCTGGTCACCAGCAGTGCCCTGGCAATCCAGATCCATCATGTCTGTGCATGAGCTTTGAGCAATCCAGGACTGACAGCTGCAAAGCTGTAACGCTGTAGGACGGTACTGGCCCACTTCAGAAAGCATTTATTAGAGCTGTGTGAAAGACAGACATGAAAGCAGCATCCAGAAAACCACAGAAAGTGCAGCTGGGGGGGCTGATGGCGCCCCTGCTGCCTAATGACAAACCTGTGGCCCTATCATGCCAGGATGTGTAACAAGAGAGCATCTTCCATTTAGTCTGGCTAGGTAAGGGTGGCATGAGACCAGCCCTGTCTAAAGGCAATACCTGGGGCAATACAAATTCGGGTCAAAAGGGCAAAGGAACAACAAACAGCATTTGGCTTGAGGTGTTTTACCAAAAAAAGCAGCAACCAAAAGTTATGTTGGTGTGCTGAGGGTCATACAATTTCCATCACCCAGCATAGGACAATTTCACCTACAAGCAGAAGACAACACAAGGGCCACACACCACACACGGTGGTGCTGCTTACAATACTCACTGAATCCTTCCAACACTTCTGTCCATTTTGATGTCTGGTTGCTAAGGGAATATTTCTCCCATAGCAAAACCAAAAGTTTCTGTAAACAGCCTTCATCTTTTTTTCCTGTTCAGAGATTCTGGGAAAGAAGCAAGAGGGACAAAGACAGGCAGTTCCTACTGAAATAACTAGGTATGAGATTTAGCAGAGTGCAGCAGAGCAAGGACCTGTCCTACCTCTCAACACCTGAAGTACAGAGGAGGCAGGTAAATGTTCAGTTTTAACAGCAAAGATTTACCTTGTCAATTCTGACTTCATTTTTGCATCTATTGTCATTTTTCTACAGAGTCAATCCAACATCTCCCAATTCCCTTTAGTGGCTGTGACTTCCTTAGGCAGACATAATGACAGGTGTCATGACAAGAATTGGACTGTGCTTTCAGAATGTTACATGTGCTTTTTCTACAACATCCATGAGATCACCTTCATTACAGGCCATCACATGTAAAGTCACACCAACTGCAGTGTCAAACCGTGGGAAAGATCTGTGCCCACCTAGTGCTGGTTTTGGGATGTTGGCAGCTGACCACACACTCCTGCTAACAGAGAACCAGGAAAACCCTTAATGGAAAGTATTTACACACTTCAGCCATATCAGTCCCACCTCTCTTGTTGCCTGTTAGCAGCCTTCCTGTTGCTCATACAGCCATATCAGCATGGCAGACTGAGAACAAATCAGAGACCCCTGCTAAAGGCTCACTCCTAACCAGTTCACTGCACCTGTTCACACCAGCAGTCATCTTAACCCTTCTTTCATCTTTCTCACTGATGTGAGAAAATATGCCCAACTCAGTGGCACAGGTTGAGCAGACATTGCTGAATGTAAATGCCATTAGTTGTAAATACTTTTGTTTTCTTTGGGATCCACCTATTAGTTTCATGGAGTCTGTTACATTACTAGGAGAGGAGATTCACCTCTTCACAAAGACTAAGCTCATATCTCTACTTCTGTGCCAAATTTTTCAATACCAGTTACAGGAAAGAAGCAAGCACCTGGTACATACAAAGGCATCTCAGCAAAAGCACCTGGTCTAACAGAAGGCCACAACTTGAAACAGGTTTCATGTTTACAGTTATTTAAAAAGAAAGATGAAATCATCAAGTTTGACAGGATTGAGGAGAGCTGCACAGGAGGAGGCCAGTTGAGGGCAGTTTATAGACAGATCAAATTCTAAACAAAAATGTCCTATTTCAAAGCTGGAAACATCATTGAGCTATAAACAGAGTATATACTTATCCAGAAAGCAACCACTCAGATTAATTGTTCCCAAGAGAGAAAGAGAAAACTCAAGAAGTGACCTTGTTGTAAACTTCACAGAGCAGATTCACAGGGTTATTACCAGAGGAAGTGTGCCCTTCTCCTTCCAGTTTCCCCTAAGGCACAGGAATTAAGGCAAGAAACAAAGGCAAGAAACTTCTGGGAGAAGGGATGTGAACGGCCCCACTTGGCCACTGCACCACACAAGACACTCAAGGAAGAAAAATCTCTCCTAATTTCCTCTAGTTCAGAAAAATCAAAGGATTTTTACAGCTCCTACAGACAAAATGTCTGTATTTTACTAGTCCCTGCACTCATGGACTACAACCCTATAAATAATATCCCCTGAGCAGTTGTGAAGGGTGTGGAGAGAGACCCTTAACGTGAAGAGAAAAAAACCAAAACCAAAGAGAGAGGCATTGCAAGCGCCCTACTGCTGCTACACACAGAGACCCCTTCTCAAACAGCTCACTGCAAACACAAGCACTGCAGGGTGCCCCGGTAGCTTGGGAGCTAGATTTGGCCGAGGAACAAGCAGGGAACATCTCCCTATCAGCCTTCAAAGCCATTCAGCTCTAGGCCAATAGCCCTGGTATTTACAAATGCTTTGCAGATGTCTTTCAGATGCTAAACTGCTAAATAACCTCTGGGGCATATTCCCACTAGAACAAAAACACACTGCAGCTCACTGGGGACCGAGCCTTTCCAAGGGAGGCTGCAGTCATTTACATGTGCATACAATTCCCTCTGTTTTCCAAGCTGTTCAAAGAGCTGCTGCTGCATCCCAGCAAGGGTTTACAATACCTTGCCATAGAAGTCACTCATCTGGTACAGGGGGATGTGCTGTGTACCACCGTAGAGTTCGATCACCTCCTCATCAGGCACCGGTTTGAGCCCTCTAGACACAAAACATCACAATTGGTCAATAATCACCAGTCTGCACAGTGCTGCAAACAGTAGAGAAAAAACAAGGGCCAAACAGGCTCTTTCCTAAAACTCAAAAATTCGTCCCGCTCAAAAGAGCCAGGCAGAGAGCCTGACAGTCTAAAGATTCAAATAAAATCTTTCCCAAGACATTCTTCAGATACCTCATTTGCTCCTACAAGTTAATTAAGAGGATTTATCCACATTCCAGCAGAGTCCAGCCAGAGGCTTCTCTCTGTCTGCTGTCAATTTGCTGACAGGACTACTCTACCAAATCAGCCTGAGACCTGACTTGGGCAGCACTGGGTATGCAACTTGGTTTGGAGATACTGCTTCCATGAGATACATCACCTTTAATGAAAAGGTGCAGGAGAAGAGCTTGCTGAAAATGGGGTTTCCTTCTGATTCAGTTTTCCTAAACAGAACAAGATCTTGACTAAGACCATTCAACAAAGAAGGCTGTTTTTCCCAAAAACACCAAAACCAGGAGTATGGCTGATCTGTGCAGTTCATAACATCAGGTTATCTGACTGCTGCAGGTTTTGCCTCTTGCTCAGTTTTGATGACTGTTTGCTCAAGCAGTCGGCAACTTTCCCTTTCTCCTTTTCTACTCAGTTGTGATACATCTAAGAAGTTAAATGTTGCCTCAGTTGTGCTCAACAGCAAAGGACATTTTAGAAGGACACTCCAAAAAAGATAGTTACAAAAGAACACTAGGGGGAAAAAAAGTAAAATATGTTTTAACTAAAAATCTCTTTATGAAACTGAAGTAAAATATGGGGTAGTACAAAGCCCCTGGTTCCCTCATCCCCCAAGCTGGCACTCAGAGAAGCCAAATCTCTCTGGTTATGAAACTCCCTTCTTAATATTCTTAGAGTGTTTACTGTAACTGAAGCTTAACAGCAAAAGGGCAGAGATCAAAGAAAAAAAAACCACATTGGCTTCCATGCTCAGAAAATACAACATAGGATTTGCAGGAGATTTGTTGTTGATATTTATAAATTACTACTTCTTACACACCAACTCCACTCCTCTTTGGGGCAAGGTGTTTTCTCAGTCTCCAGTCTCACAACTCCTAGGAGAAAAATTTGCTCTGTACTGTTTCAGCCACCTATTCCAAAAGCACACCCAGCTCTTTTTGGAGAGCTAAAGGAAAAATAGGACAATCTAGGACGTAAAGTGAGCCTAGATTCTGATGCATTATTAATTTATTGGCATGTCTGTGTTGTTTTAAGATGTAATTTGTACACCCAGATCACTCTCCAAGGCACAGCAGAGCACTGCTGGGATACACTCCTGCCTGGAAAAGACAGGCCCATGTGTGAATCACACACAGAGGAGCCCTTGCCTATTGGCTCTTTTTGCTCTCAGGTGTTAACCCAGCCTTGCTGTAGGTGCAGTTAAAACACCACGCAGTGTCCGTGACCAGATGTGCTATTAACCATTACAAAAAGCTCCCCACCCACACCTGGCTTGAAATGCTTGAGAAAGTATAACTCCCTGCAATTATATGCCAGGTAAGCTTTTGAAGAAAGAGCAAACAGGATGAGCCAGACAAGACTGTGCTCTGCTCAGAAAAGAAGCAGAATAACATATGACATGAACAAACTCAGATGTAGAAATCCACTTTTGCATATACAAGCATTTAGAAAATGATTTTCAGAACTGACAGACCTATATGCAGTCCCCAGCTGGACATAATGGAAAGCATCAATCTTCATCAGAAGACTCTGTGACAAGGGATAGATATTTACTGTTAGAACTGGGTTATTCTTAAAATTTACACCGAAACCTTATTAAAGTTCCACACAAATGACATTCAGAAAATAAAGTTCAGTATGAGCATCCCACATCTATGCACTTTAGACAGCACTTATTCTCCAGCTACTTTTAGACACACTTATTCATACTGTGACTTTTTATTGGCCTCTCTGGCAAAAGACCGTCTTTCTATGAGCCAAAGTCTTTTACATCCCAGTTTGTGGACAGGGGTGCAGTTGAAAAACAGGGACAACAACATTTCAGTGACAATTCATTCAGTCTATTCTAATGTCCCTTCAAGAAAACACACATTCCAAAGGAGATTTGTGTGCACATATCTACTCCCCCCACATTTATCTGAAGCAGAACTAAGTTGGCAAGTTTTAGCTCAAAGCACAGCTGCACCCAGTCATTTTCCTCACACAAGAGCTCTCCCCTCCTCAGCAGACATTGAAGGAAAGATGTTCAGGAACACACCAGGCTGGTAACAGAGGCTTCTTTGCATTTTTACTATCAGATTGCCCTAATCATGAGCCATCCTTCTCCATCCACAATTCTGAAGCTGTAACACAAGTCCTTGGGCATGGAAAGCAGCCTGACATTAACCCCACATCACTCTGCAGCTTGCACAAGGAACAAGACATCAAACTTTTCATCAGGACACCATATCAGTGCATCTCATTACACTGTGGGCAGACCTCCCAGTAATCTGTGAGGAGTGTGTGAGGAGACAAGCAAATATGCTGAAAGTTTTTTCTTACACAGGCACAACCCAGATTTCTGTGTGTTTTGCAAACTCTGATTCTGAGAAAAGAAAGTTCTCTACATTCTACTCACTCAAAGGGTGCTTTGCTTGGCCAGGCCACTCGTCCATGTTTCTCAGATACAGCAGCCAAAGATTTAAAAAGAGAAAGAACCTTCAGTTTCCCATAGATCTACTTCTTGCTTTTTAAGGCCAGAGGCATGAGTGGTCTGCTGCCATGCTGTCTCCACAGTTAGGACAAAAGACAGAAAATCTTTGTATTTTCTTCCTTCATTCTCTTTTTTCCCCTCCTTCTGGAGAACAGCACACACATTCCAGCCTGCACTGTCTGCTTCCCTGAATTTGCTCAAACTCAACATACGAGAAAGCTACTTCAGTGAAACAACTTTCTCTGCTGTGCTCCCACCTGACTGCCTGGCTGCAGCAGCCAGTAGGGCATCACTGGGCATCAGGCTTTCAGGGAATAGGGCCAAAGCACTGAAAAGGGTTAAAGCTAATGCCTGCACTCTGCTTGCCTATGTTTCTAAGAAGTATGCATCTCAAGTAGCTTGGATCTTATTCCAGGCAGTCCTATTATTCGGGTTGGGGGATGGGGAAGGCTCCCTAAAGCTTTCTCCTGACAAGTCACTTCTATTCTTAGAGTAAGACATTATGCCTTTGCTCCTGGCAAGTACTTGTAGATGCAGGATCGAGTTTTGTTGTTTAAATTTCCTGAAAGACAGAAATGATCACATAAACAAGCTCAGTTTTCTATTAATTAGTCTGAGGAATGAACTGACTTCTAAATTGGCAAGGCTGTTTACTAGAGACCTTTGCTAGAATGTCCCCTTCTGCTGGAGGCCAGGCTGGCACAATAGATATCTTGCCTCGGGGGAGAACCCAAGCAGTGAAAAGCACAGCCACACAGACTCACCAGTCATTTGGTGACAGATGTTATTGCAAGCAATGACATCAAGTATTTCCATTAAAAACATATCAGTGGGAGACAAAACCCAGGAGAGTGAACTTTGTACAGCTTACCTTTTGTACATCATAGTGAAGTCCACGTATGGCAAATCCAGGAATGTAGTCATACTTCCCAAGCCCTTCTGGATACTGGGAAGACAAACAGTGACATCATTACAGCATAAGCACTGGATAATCAACAAATTAAGTTCACCTGCTGAGCTCATTTAGTCCTGCCTAGTTTTGCCCCTTCAGCAAAGAAAGTGGGTGAATGGAGTAAGACAAAGGATCAGGATACCCAAAACTAGTTTTTCTCATGTAAGGGACAGTTGTGGTAAAGCATCAGATTCACTGAGGCAGTCAGGACACTTCTTGTAAGCTCCACTCTGCATATATTTGGCAAAGATTGGCACTGCAGGGCCCCTCTAAACAGAAAGACACAATGAGAAGAAATGCTTAAGCAGTCACCCATTGCAAACAGGATGTCTGTTCTGGGACATGCTCTAGGGCATCATCCCATCGACCAGCACATGCCAACTCCTGCACAGCTTAAGTGTTGGCCCGTGGTTTATGTTTAGCCACCATGTGCACCTCCAACTAGCAATCCTGTAGACATTCTTTCTGTAGTTGAGTACAACTGACCAAGGCTTTTTTACACTAAGGCTCCCAGTCCACATTTATAAAACCTCAGGAATGTACATCATGTTAAATTATCTCAAAGGAAATTAATTCTGCAATCAAAGATTGTGAAATATTAAATTTATCTCAATAAATCAAGCAATCGACATGCATGCACAATGCCTGCACAAGCATGTCTGGGGTGTTGCAAAGACAGCAGCAAGCTTAATTGAGTGGAAATCCTTAGCAGCTCATTACCTTGAATTGTTCTATTAGGATGTCTCTGGCAGTGTTGAAAATCATGGAGTGTAGTAAATTAGAATACTGTGCTAATGTGTAATCGTAGTCAAAGCCATAGATCTCCACATCTCCCAGGCTGATCTCATTGTTAGCATAGATGGCGGCAGGGTTGAGGAGATTGCAGACTCCTGGTGGAAGGAGATCTAGGAGAAGGGAAAGGGGAGAGGTTAGAGAAGCTGAGAGCATCGCTGAAGTTTAGACTTTTTGTTCTGGACCTGACAGCAGCTGGAAATGCCACACAGCAGCAGCAAAGAGCACAGAGCTGCTGTCGAAGGTTGCTGCCTTTAGCTCACTCAAATAATCTCCCCGTGAAAAACACACTGTGAAACCTCTGGCTGCACCTGGAGATAGTGCTCTCTATCCATCTGCACAGTCAGGCTGACCTTTTGTGTCAGGAAGCTGCAAAACAATGCCCCCTGGTCTCTGGCCTACAAGAAGCAAAGCAGACCCGAGATTCTGAAGTGTCAAATTTCTGTCTCAGAGCAGCTGCAGTTTCTGCAGACTTCAATGTGAAAGGCAGCTGTGTTAAATCACCAGAGAAACACACCCCTCACTTAGAACTCAAACAAGCAAACAGGCTAACTCTCCTCTTGGAAAAGTCTAGATTACTCCAAATCAGAAATTTTGAGGTTTGTCTTTTAGCATTTTTTGTTTCTCACAGAGGCAACCAGACTTCACAGAAAAGTCCCGCAAGTACCTTTAGGACTTTTTAAATTTTTGTATTAATGGGCAGGAAATACCAAAGTTTTGTACAAACACCCACACGTGAAAATACCCCCCCCACTAGGTTATGCTCCTGGAGCATGCAATGCTGATAGCAACAAGTTATCTGCTTTCCTCTGATAAACAGCTGTGGACACAGCTCAGTCCTGCTCAACATGTCGTTTGTCACTTTTCAAGATGCTTGGGAATAACACTTTGCTCCCCAGACCTTTTCGAAAATGGAGTTAAGTGCCCAAGCAGCTAAATCACCTATATGCAGATCCCTTCCCAGAGGATCCTTTCCCTCTCCAGAGAAGGGAGCTTTCACTCCACTGCAATGGGAGAGGCAGGAACAGACCTTCCCACAGGCTTCCCGCTCCATGAGAACTGTCGCTTGCAAGAAAGAGCAATAAAAATAGTTCCTTGTAGTAAGTTGCCTGGTCACAACCACACTGGGGGACAGAGGGGAAGGAGACATTTCCTCCCTCCTCAAAGATAGGTATTTTCTCTTTGAATGATAGAAGAGCAGGAATTTTCCAGTTCCTACTCAGCAGTGGGTAGTATTTTTTCTTTTCCTACCTTAACTTTTGCCTTTTAGCAAGGACCCCTGTCCTGGTTCTTTAGTGCTTCCTTGCTATAAAACCAAGTTCCATCTGTGTCTAGGACAAAAAAATACATTATTAGAAAGAGATACCAGCCCTTCCAAATAAAGACTTTGTCCGGAATTATAACAGAATTTAGGCAAAAGTCTGAAGTTCTTTTGTGAGCCCTAATTCAGGGAGGTAACCAAATAAATAGATTCAAATATTTCAAAACGTTTCTTTCTCAGGGGGAAAAAAAAATCACTATGTTACAAAACATACCCATCCTTCTCTCCTAACTGACTTCCATTTGGCCTTCAAATACAATTCACCAGATCATGTGGAGAGGAATCACTAGAAAATAAAACAGTATATTAAGGCAGGAGGGATGACTTACTGGCTGCACACCAGGAACAAAAGCTCTCTGTCAGTGCTCTGCTGGTGGCAAAGTTCCTGGAAGAGGCTTAGGAGAGCGGATGCAATCCAAGTACTTTCCACTGAGATTTTAAAAGATGGGAAATGTAAATAGGATTCAGATGATCACAACTTTCATCCTTTCATCATAAATGTTCTTTTCACCATAAACAGAGTTCTACTTCCTGTCCTCACCTTCAGTCAAAATTGTGGAAAGACCTTTTTCTAAGCTTGCACTGGGATTTGCTGGGTGTTATTTTTCTTCCTCACAAGGAAAATGATGACACAAACACATCTCAGAGGAAATGTGCAGGGCTTTCCTCTTCTATTTTGCTAACATTCAGAACAACACATTTTGATAGCCTGAGAGCATCACAAAATACCATTGCCTGAACCACACCCCTCTTTTCACAGAAGACAAGAGAATCTTCTAGATCCAACCACATATGCCAGGCACAACTTTTGCAAAAATACCATCAGGAAAAACTAAGGGAGCAGTAGGATTTTGTAAAAAGGAGAGGACAGTCTGAGCTTCACCAAGCAAGTCCCATAAGCGGTTACTGTGCCACAGCACGATTTATGAAGTACATTTAGACCCACAAAGTGCCAGCCTCAAAGGTACAGAGCCTCTCTGCTGCCCTCTGACAACCTCTTGCCCAGGTCATTTTTCCCCACCCACATTTTGTCACTCACACAGCATGGTCTCTCTTAGCTCCCTAAGGGCTGAAAAAGGATGCATACACCAGCCGAACTGATTTATACCCACTGCCTCCCACACGTGTTCCCTATGTTCACTTCCCCAAGCACCACACATCCCCTTGCTGTGTTTTCTATTCCACATCACTCACAACTTGCAGCTTGCTGTGTCCACCCCATCATCCTACATCTTGAATTTACAGTAATTTCAAAGCCACTGCTCTTCTGGGAAGCGGGAAATCTCTGAAGTTCAGTCTAGAGATTAATGATGCACATTTGTCTCAGTGTAAATGTCCTTTTGCATGCGCACACTCCTCAACAGAGCTGCAGGTCTCCATCTCCTCAAACTCACGCAGTCTCCATGAAGGGATTCCAACTACAGCAGGGAAAAGACACAGCCTGAGAGCACAAGCAAAATCAGTTTCAATACAAGAGCCCAGAAATGCCTCAGGGTTACCGGGCCAAGTTTCAAGAAGCTTGGTTTAATTGTGTTTGTTTGGAGGTTTAGTTTGCTTTTTTGTGGTGTTTGTTTTTCAAAGATAACCTCCTGGGTGGTTACCAATCCTTACTGCTTAATCAAGTCCTGGGCTGCAGGCTTGGGTGCTGCTGCTCTGCACGTAATCTGCCAGGGATCTTTGTCTCAGATTTCCTGGCAATTGTCAAATCAAAACAAACAGACACCCACCAGAAAGTCACGAAGATGCCATTTATCAATAACGATAGCTTTTGCTTTTCCTCTGCCAAGACACCATAACAGATTGCTAAAGATATGATAAATTAAAGAAAACAACCACACAAAACAAAATGAAGACCAGTTTTGGCTATTAAAAAAGAATAATAATCCCAACTACTCTTTCTGTCTGGATCCTAACTAGAAAGGCAGACAATATCAGTTACTCACTGCCTACTCAGCAGTTCACCCAGGAAGTCTGATCTAAGGGAGAAGCAGTGTGAACACATCAGAGGACAGAGGAAAAAGCTGCTCTTGCACTGGATGCAGACCCAGGAATCTGCCTGTTTGCACAATTTGTTCCTGTTTGCAACTCTGACAGCTTTTAGGGAAGTGCCTGCATGTCCACAGCACACGGTGAAATTCAGCAGCAAAGGCAGACCACAAGAAAGCATGTTTGATCTCGTGTATCTCTTACACCTGGGTGCTAATGCAAAGTAAACACAAAACTTCATTTTCCCCCTGTGAGAACCTGGACAACTGCTTAAATCAGAGTGTCTCCATGAGAGTGGTGTCTCTACCCAGGCAATAAACCACATTGTTAGAAAGCAATAACCCTCAATCCCCAACAGGAGAGCAGAGATGGAAACAAAAGCAGGTAATTAACTGTGAGCAGCCACTAGAGACACCATCTGGCCCCTTCTGATGTGAAAAACGCTCTGGGCAGGAGGTGCCAAGCACGTCTCTTGCCTTTCTGAGCTCCCGGGGTGCCAACAGCATCTTGCAAGAAATGTTCCTGTTCTCTCACAGCCCCAGATCCAGCATGTTAGTGAAGAATTCTACATAAACAAGGCAACCCACCCGCATCTCTCACACCCTTTATACTCCCAGAACACAGCAGACATCTGTACTAATTTCTTCGTATGACAAGCAGGGAAAAGAAGGGTACGGACAAGCAGATGGCCATTATCCTCCATGATCTTCATTAATCAAAAAGTTTCCCTTGTTCACACTAAGTTGTTTTCTAAAGACAAACTGCCAGTTTTCCTCCTTTCCAAGCACTCCTTTATCCTCTTGAAGTGTTGTTTTGTGCCATTTCCTGCAAAGCACTCTCACCAGCCAAAGCAGATCCTTCTACCAATAGGGTAGGAAGGGAAAAATATTATCTAAAGACCATTTAATTTCAGAGAAACCATGTTAAAAGACCTTGGATTTATGCCATTATGCCTAAGTATTTTGGGATTTCCTGCTAGTGAAATCTCCATTAGCTAAAAGCAATATTAAAAAAATATAATTTCATTACAAAATCCCATTTTTAAAATATACAAAGGTACTAGAGAAATGCTACAAGAGCTCTTCACAAAAAAAAATGGGTTATATCCAAGAAAGCAGAATTGTGAAGTTTACATAACTCGTCAGTCTTCCAGTTCTGGCTGTTCTCACATTTAACCATGCTCAAGCTTGTCATGAAGAGGCAAGAAGTTTGCAGATATTGTAAAAGTTCCCTAGGAAAGCTGAGTTAGTGTAGCTTCTGTTAACAGATTTGGAACACCTAAGAAAAAACAAATGCTTATAGCCAAAGAGTCACTGGCTTGGCAGTCCCCTTGTTTCAGGACTGGATTTCTCCTAGAGTGCAAGACTTCAAAGCTTACTGAGAGAGCTTATCAGCCTTCCTTTACATTTATCAGATCAGAAAACAGCAAAGTCTTGCTCAATTCCATCTCTCTGACTAATGTGAATTTACTTTTCCTTTCACCAGAGTAAAAAAAGCACAGTAAGTGCCTCAAATTTCTACGGGTACTGAAAGGTGGCCGAAAAAGTTACTGTTGCAATTGGCAGGGGGGAAAACGAAGAGTGTGGTTTCTCTTGAGTCAATACTGAGAGGATATTCTACCTCAGAGGCACTCTTTGTGTAGCAACATTTGTATCACCCCACTCCAGTCTGGCAGAGCACAGATGTGTTTTTACAGAGTTGAGAACTTCTTGTGCTTCTTTGGCCCAAACCTGCACCACCCCTCAGCTTTACCGCGCAGAAACTCGTCCGGCACATCCTGCCCCATCCAACTCAGTCAGCATTTATCGTGCAAAATGCAACAGTGCTCCGTGGATCTGGTCCTAAGCAAGGGCTGGTCTGAAAACACACAATGAATTCTCCTGGCAGAGACCTCTCTCCAAACCAGTGGCAATAACTAACACAAGGACAAGGGACTGCACAAAGCTGGCATTTTAGAGGGGGAAGGAGAAGGAGGCACCTCAGGAGTCTTCCCCAACTCAGTGTTGGGCAATACTGAGCAGCCAAGCACAGACGTTCACCTTCACACCAGTTAGAAACCAAGCACAAAGGAACAGACTGATGCCACATTCTGCACAACTGCTTAGTCATCAAAGCAACAATTAAAACCAACTTGGACCAGCTCTGTCTCTTCCTGACAAGATTTGAATAACAGCACCGTCTTGAAATTTTAGTTTGGGGAGCTACTCTTGAAACAAACGAGGGCCTTATTCAACATATCTGATGGCTACCTGAAGGTTTGCGAAGAGTCTGCTCTCTAACACTTGGGTTACTTCACCCGACTTCGTTTTGCATTTACTGCTGGTGATTACTGCTCCACCTCAATTAATAACTGTATCTCTTGCATCCCAACAGAGTTATGTGAACACAAACTTCACACTCTCACGTAGAAAACCAAGCGTTTTGCCAAGAGGCTGTGACACAGCTTATTAACACACATCTGCATTTATAGTTTCAATCCCATTATGGAAAAGTAAATAATGCCTTTGAGGATAGCAAGCTCCAAACGGCAATATAAGCATTGCAAACTGGAATTTCTTTCAAGCAGTAGGGCTAAAAGCACAGCTCAGTCTTGGAGGGTATTATCAAAGCTCCAGTCCTCTGTCAATATTCTGTACTGCCTTCAACAGTGCTGGGAAAGGAGCTTTCATCCTGGAATGCAGCAGGCTAAACACCTATTAGATCAGTAGCAAATTCTTTTACGTTTGTGCATCATGAAGGACTCGAGATTTTATGCCAAATCCAGTGGACTGTAAGATGGGGGAGGAAGGAATGACAGACCTTGCCGATCTCAGAACAGGGAGAAAGTTCTTCCAGATGCTGACTGCAGCCCTTATCCAAGCCCTTAGGTAAACAAAAGCTAACGGAGAGTTCTGTAAGAGCAGGCACAAACTCACACTTCCTTGCTCTCTACAGTGCTCACCTTCAGCATCCCATGAATCAAGAAACCAACAGGAAAGAGCTCTTTGCCCTCATGTCATTAAAGCTATTTTCAGGAGAGTTTAATACAGTGGAGGTCTACTGCTGCCAAAAAGACCACAATCCTGTTTTCCATACAGTCTGAATTTTCTCCTCACTTGGCAAGATTTCAAAGTACCCGACAGAGCCAGGTAACTTCTTGGTCAGAGAAGTAAAAACGCACTCATGAGGTAAAGGTGTGACACGTGTGGAGCAGAAACTGAGCTCAGGATCAGGACCCACCCCAGGAGCTGCAGCATCAGTGTTCTCCAGGCTCACCCTTGTGCCAGTGGCGATTTGGACTTGTCACCCTTTCACTCAGCATCCCCATCTATTTGTCTCAGTCCAACCGCAATTCCGTATGCCAGACAAAGGAAAACCGGAGAAAAAGGCAACAAGCCCTTAGTTTAGACCATTTGCCATAACAAAGCCCATGATGTAAGGGAGGCTAGTTATGAAAAGTCCCATATACACTGCGTGTCCTGAGTCCAGCCGGGGAATCTGCACAGAAGGAAGCCGAGGATGGAGAGAGGAAGATCAAGACCAGATTTCAGTGAAATAAAACCATCCCAGCGAGCCGCGGGCAATGGAAGATGTGGATGGCATCGCCGGGGAGAAAGGCTCCTAACCCGGCAGCTGCACAGCACAGGCACGTCCCCAGGGCTGCGGGGCGGGGAAAGGCACCGAGATGCAAGGAAGAGAAAGGAGAGGGAAAAAAAGAATGGAAAGGCCGGCCCCGGGAGGACGTGGCGGCCGCCTTACCGTAAACCAGCTTCTTCATCTCGTGGTACCTGGCCCACAGGTAGGTCTTGGTGTCGGCGCCCTCGGCCGGGACAGGCTGGCCGCCGACTCTGCCGGGGGCCGCCGG